GAACGGCCCATACTGGGTTTCGAGGCATCGGCAGTAAATCCCATCAGTTCTCGCTGCGGGCATTTGGAGCGTTTTGTGCACGGTAGCTTCTGCTTCATTTATTTGTAACAGTTTTCTATTTACTTCATTATTGCTACTGTTCTTAATATTACTACTTTTGCTCTTCTTCTTATTGTTATTGTTATTCTTGTTTGATGGTTCTTAATGGTTAGGAGCCTCGAGAGGGCTGCAAACCGCATCACCCCAAAAGTCGGAGCAGGCTTGGGGTAGCTTCAACAAGCGCCCGTGGTTTAGGGTTTAGGGGTTTAGGGGTTTAGGGGTTTAGGGTTTAAGAACATGTCCCGAATTTCGTCGGTGCTTGCTTTTGTTTTTTTCACAGTGGACGGTTCACTATCAGCAAAGCATAACTGTAGCTCGGAACCCGGCTGGACCACGGCGACGAAGAGGAGGAGGAGGAGGAGCTCGGAAGCGCCGATGATAGTTGTCACGACCTTCAGACCATAAGACCACGAAGATCGCGAGCTCGACGCCGACGACGAAGGACGACGACGGCAACGGCGCTAGCGACAACGACGAAGTGGACGAACGATTCCTAGTTCATCCAGCTTTGCCCAACCCTAAACCTTAAACCCTAAACCCTAAACCGTGCTGTGGCTCAGTCGTCTCCGAATCTCAAGACTTCCGAAGTTTCCCTTCTGTTGCCAGGATCTGAAGCTTGCAGCTACGGTTACCTTCAGTGAAGACACCGACGTCGTTCTCACAAGCGGCGAGGAGACATGATGAGCTTGAGAGGAAAACCCCAAACCCCAAAACTTAAAACACTAAACTCAAAAGCCAAAACCCTAAACTCAAAACCCAAAAGCCTAAACTCAAAGCCCCAAGCCCTAAACGCCGTAGAGGCTAAACCGGAGTCACTACTTGGAGGCCCAGGGGACTTAGCAAGTAGGTTATAAGCACCCTAAATGGAGTTAACCCAATTGTAACCGACTTACTAAGTCCCCTAGGCCTCTAAGTAGTTTTTGTGGTTTATATTTAGAATCCCAGAAGGTAATCCCAAAAAGGAACCACTTAGGGGCCTTTGGGTAAGTCCCCTGGGCCGCTAAGTAAGCAAAGGGAGGAGGCAGCTCAGGGTCTTCGGCTCTCCGAAAGCTTGGGTTCCGCGCGCGGGTTTCGTGGCAAGGCCTTAAAGCCGTTGGGCTTAGGGGTTTAAGGTGTAGGGTTCAGGGTTTAGGGTTTAAGGGTTTCGGGTTTAGGGTTTAAGGGTTTTAGGGTTTAGGGTTTAAGGGCTTAAGGGTTTAGGGTTCAGGGTCGAGGACCCTTTAAGCCGTGTCTTGCAGGACATGTGGTCGATGCAGCTCTGCGATGTCTTCGCGGAGGTCTTCGAAGTCGCCGGACGGGCCATCGCCGCTGGGACCAGCTGACAACCATGTAGTATAGTATCGAGGTCAGAATAACTGCTAGAAGTTGTCCCTCATTACACTCCCTACTCAAAAAAATACTACAGCGGACCCCCAAACTCTATGTCAGCCGTTAAGGCCTCTAAGCCGTGGATGTTGCGCTTCAGGGGCTTTGCTTCATAGTTCAAATGGTAGAGGTTGAGGGGTTTGGGGTTCTGGCTTGCGTGTTTGGGATCTCTGATCTAGGGCTGGGGGCTGGAAAGGTCTTTGAGCTTTAGGACTAGTGCTTTTAGGGGCTTGGAAGTGCAGGGTTTCGGGTTCTTGGGGGTCCTAGGTAGTATTCGGGAGACCCCTTAGAGGGGACCCTTTGTTAACCCTACTTGTGGCTCTCGTTAAACGGCGGCCTTAAATGAGAGGCTCTACATCCTCAAGGGTCCCCCTAATCCTAACTCCTAGGGAGGTTTCAGGCTTTACCTTAACCCCTACTTTGAAGACCCTACCTTTTTCAGAACTTTGAAGACCGTACCTTTTTTCCAGAACTTTGAAGACCCTACCTTTTT